CAGAAGACACAAGATTCTTGGGTCAGAGACAAAGAAGTCTGTTGCTCACAGCACAGAGAGCAGTGTGGGCTTCATGTTCAAATTGCTTTCCCTTGTCCTCCAGCTCCCACAGAGTAATGCCAAGGTGGGCCCAGGTGGGTGCTGGGGACATAGTGGGTTTCTGTCCCATCTGAGGAACCCATACCTAAGAGAACCCAAATCTTGTATAGTGGGTTGAAAGCAAACTTGTCAGACATCTGCCCTAGAAGGAGATATAATCTGTCTTCAGAGTAAGCCTACCCTCTGCTCTAGAGGAAGACATTGTATCTTCAAGGCTATTGACTGTAAAAACATCCTTGAAATGATAGTCCAAAACAGTAGTCATCAATGCCTGTGCCCAGAAAATATGCACGAATGTGAGAAATTCATAGGGCATTTCCTCTGAATAAGTTTGTGTTAGCCATTGGAAGACAGTCTTACATAAAGGTATAGTAGAGTTCATTACTTGACCTAGTGTTGATTTTAATCTGTGGTATCTTCAGACTCTTCTGGGGAAGTTGAGTCAACACACACAGATAAGTAATGATGATGAAAATTGAAATCAGTGGGCATTCAGCATCTACAGAATGGCCAACACTATTAGAAACATGATATAGAAGATACAACCCATGCCTTTTATTTTACCCAAAGATAAGTGGGCTCACACAGAGCCCACTGTATTACATGCAGCTCTCCTGGCTCCTTAACACTGTCTGTGACCTAATTTCAGTATGAAAGATTAGAAAGTCACCTCTGAATTGTTATTTCTCAGACATGCCCGTATATTACCATTTTAGTGGCTAAAAGGCATTACCAAATTTCTCCTTGATATTCTTTCACTCAGTAAAATAGGTATTGTAATTTGTAAGAAAACACATTTTTCTGTGTAATTCAATAAGGCTATTTTTCTTTTCAATGATAAATAAAACACTTAAAAGATTTTTTTCCCCTGAGTTTGATCTCATAAACCAAAAAATTAAAAAGTCAAAACAGCTACTCACTGCTAATCACATCTAAGTAAGAATGAATAGTTCTGTAAACTTGGAAAATCTAAGTGAACTGTCAACCTCACACAATTTGATCATGGACCAAATTTTGCTGAAATTTATTTAAAATGAAGGGTAACTTTCAAATGATCATGTTGACTTTCATTTTGTTTGAGGAAGACAAATCTATAATATATTTATAAAACCTTTACTCCTTAGGCTTGAACATTTCATGAAAATCTCTCAGTTCCTTTGAAAGTTATGAAGCAAACAAAAAAGTAATGGTGAACTAGTGGTTTGAAACTTATATTTCTTTCCTTACTGAGGTTCACCAAGACCTGGCTTCTTCTTCTTCTTTCTTTTCCTTAACAGAATCATCTGGCATATGCCTTCTCAGTAGGAGCTATATCACCCTCAAGGGAATCAATATTGGTTATTAGAGAGGTGGGAGGAGAAAAATCTTAGATATTACAATGGTCTGTGACTTTCCAAAGGGCCACAGTACATAAACAGATATATAGTTATATCTGTGATACTAAATTTTAATATGGGGGGATTAGGAAAAAGTTATCTAACAAGGCTCCTTTAGGGGAGAAGGGAACAAAAATGGGGAAAAAAAATTTGAGAAATGGTGATCTTACATAACATTCTGTTAAATGATGTCAGATGGCAACCACTAAATTAAGCACAGGGATTTATTTGTAATTTCTCTTTACTTTATGTCATATTTGTTCTTTCCATCTTTTTAGTCCATAAACAATATAGTAGTATTAAAGAATTTTAATGACATGCTATCCATAAATATCATTGTTATAGACTTTTTTCATGTTTGCCCATCATTTATGTTAAATGATGTTTGATATTCTGTTCTCTTTACTCATATACTTGTATTCATCTTTTTACATAGCCTTCATCATGACTGTTTTTATAAGGATACAGAAATTTAGTTGTACTCTGGTTCTCTTCTGGTTGTACTTCTGTATCTAAAAACTCCTTCCATGTCTTCTTTTCCCCTGACTGCCTTTTAAAAATTGAGATCCTCAGAAAATACATTCTATGCCCCTTCTCATACATTATCTCAGGGTCATCTCACCCATCTTCCAGTGACACTCTCATTTTAGCTCCAGTTTAGACTTCACTCCTGGGCTCCAGATTCATATTTCCAACTTCTTACTGGATTTCTCTACTTAGATATTCCTCAAAAAGCCATTTTTTTCAAACCTGTTTATCCTTTGTCTTCTAGACTCTTTTTCTCCCCCTTGATATCACCCTTCCAGCCAGGCCCTGTTGACTGTATTAATACCTTTAAAATACCCCTCCTCTCTAGTCACTCTGTTAACCCTTGAATTCAGTCCTTTATCTCTTACTGAGAGAATTACCATTACACTCCTAAACATCTCCCTTCCTTCTGTCATGCTGTCCCCAGAGTTATCCTCCACAGTGCTGTCTGACAAGTCTTTCTAAAGTATAAATAGTATCAAGTCACTTCCTATATTGCTTGTGGCTGCACTGCCCAATACAGTAACCACGAGCCACATATTGCTATTGAGCACTTGAAATGTAGCTAATCTGAAATGAAAGATGCTGAAATTAAATTGGGTTAGATTTATGAGACTTGGTCTGATAAAAGAAATGTAAAATATATATAATTTTTGTATGTATTGAGATAAATATTAATATATTAAGATTCATTTCACCAGTTTCTTTTTATCTTTTTAAATATGGCTACAAACAACTTAAAATTATTTATGTGGCTCACGTTTGTGGTTTGTATTATATATTTGTTAGTGCTGGCTTATAGGATAATGCTCAAACCCATGTCATAGCATTGAAAAACAAAACTCAACTGAATAAATTTTAAAGTCCTAATTGGTTTTATTAAATGAATCATAAATTGGTGACATCTCATCTGGTAAATAGAATAGAGCTCTAAGGAGCTGTACAAAAGGGAAGACTTTTATAGGCAGGAGGAAGCAAGACAAGGAAGTTATTCTAGCAAAGAGCAGATTGTTCAGACAAGGTCATCTTCCTTTGTTGGACAATGGGAGGTCTATCAGGTAAACTTCCTTTCTAGTGTTGACCAGGAAATTTTAGACTGAGTGATTAAGATTATATTCCTAGGAGAGGCTGAAACTGCAATGAGATTAAGTCTCCATTTGGTGATGTGAGCCTTTTTACAGGTGACTCCATTTGGGGCCTGTTGGCTCTTTTTAACAACAGCATTATGATGTTTCATCATGTGGCCATCACATGCCTAGTCCATTTCATCTTCTTCTAGCTATCATGCAACAATTGATCTGGGTTCATACCAGGGCCCCTCCACATGCCAGCTGTGTAATCTGGAGCAAGATGCTTATACTCTCGAAGTTTTAGTATACCTAGCTGAAAACCAAAGATATTATTTGCTTCAATATTTTTTCGGGAGGATCATAGCACCAAAGTGGGACTTCCCTGGCTGTCTAGTGGTTTAAGCGCTGTCACTGCTGTAGGTCCAAGTTCGATCCCTGGTCAAGGAACTAAGATCCCACAAGCTGCGTGGTGCAGCCAAAAAAAGATATAATCAATGTCAAGTGCCTACCACATAAAATTTAGTTCTCCCCGATACATTCCAGGCATGTCACACTTCATTTCCTCTTTTCTTTCTACTGTAAAGAGCACGTGATGGTTCTGATGTGTATGCAGCCTTAATATTCCTAAAAGTGAACATCCTCTTTCCTTGTTTAGTCACTGGAGTTCTACTTTCCCTTTATTTTTCCTGTTTTCATCAAATATTATACCTGAAAACCTCTGTGTTTCCTTCTATTTTTTCACTCAATGTCCTGTCCTAGAGATTGATTTTAAAAATAAAACAATGATTGTAACATTGAGGAAATCTCAAGTCAAATGAAGAACATAATAAAAAAAGATTGTAGCTTGTTCTTGCCCCATAAGACAATATTTTTTCCCTATGATCTGACACCCCACAGTCAGTCCTTTAAGCAAAGTAGGATTTAAATTTAATTTAGGAATAACATCAGAAACAATTTCTTCTCCCTCAGTCCCACTCTTTTCTCTTAACCCTCCTGCTCGCAAATGTCTTCTACCCTAGACCCACACATTAGCTACCACTCAAATTAACTACCTGGTGACGGTCCTTTTCATCAATGAGGTTTGTTGAGAAAAGGCTCCTCAGCTCACTGTGGATTATCCACAGTGTTTTAGAGTTTCTGGCAATGGACACTTGCTCTAACAAATCTTAAAAGTGTTTTTGATGGCCAGAATTGTCAAAGATAAGAGTAGGGTGAAATTTTTTATATATGTTTCCATTGAGAACTGCCATGAACATCTTTTGAGTATTCCACTCATTGGAAAAGCTTAGAAGCACAACAGCATTCTAAAAGGGGTGATGAGACTCTGGCTAATGTCTCTCAAGTGTAAAATGTGGCCTTTCAGATGATGTAGTCACCTTTGCCTTCTACAATGTCAGTATTTCAAAATGGGTAAAGGATATGGATTAGGTAGGAGCTGAATGCAAATGTGTTTTGCAAATAGTGTCTTTTAAGATAATTGCAGATGATGGTTGAATGCTGAAGGTATTAATACAATCAGTATTTAACCTTGTGTAACTCTGCTTCATCAAATCACACCCTGCACATTGATTGCATTAAGCCAGGTCAGTGGTTTCTTACTTAGAAATATCTTGTAAGAATCTTAACAGGAAGGCAACAGTAGTTGATCAGCTGCTGTTTATTTACATACTGAACATGTCATCAGTAATACAAAAGACAAGGTCTTTAAGTTGAAAGAACAGTGAGGTTGGCATGAATTTTGCTTAATGGTGCGTAATAAGCAAAGTAGTCTGTGGTGCCAGAAACTGACAGGATGCATTATGTTGAAACAGATATATGTCTTTAATTCAGGGGTATTATGTAAATCTGACAGGAGTTTTTCGCTTTATTTTCCTGTAGTTTAACTTTAATTGCTCCAAGATTAATTCTGATTTTTCCCTTCCTCCAGAGGGTGATGAGACGGGCGTGATGGATAATCTTCTGGAAGCCCTGCAATCAGGGGCGGCATTCCGAGACCGCAGAAAGCGGATTCCAAGGAATCCAGGTAAGAGCCATTCTAGCTCACATGGTATTATAGAATGTAAATGCTCAGAACCAAATACCAAATATTAAAAAAAAAAAAAACTTTTTCATGAAAAAAAAATAATTCTTTGAAACAGTTGATCTCAGTTCACAAGTGAAGTCTCGGGAAGCTTCTATATCTACCTGATCACAAGTTTTAACTTTGTAAAAGTGTCTTCAAATAACAATTGCTGCTGCTAAGTCACTTCAGTCGTGTCCGACTCTGTGCGACCCCAGAGACGGCAGCCCACCAGGCTCCACCATCCCTGGGATTCTCCAGGCAAGAGTACTGGAGTGGGTTGCCATTTCCTTCTCCATGCAGGAAAGTGAAAAGTGAAAGTGAAGTCGCTCAGTCGTGTCCGACTCTTCGCCACACCGTAACAGTAGGCTTTGCCAAAAAAAGTTAAGAAACAAGGATTCCCACTGTGTTTACTACTAAATATTTTCAATTGTTATTTTATGAGCATGTGGTTTGTCTAGAAGATGGTTTAAAATCGTAACTGTAATTAAAGTCATTCCAAGTAATTGGCTTTAAGGATGTCACAGGTAAGGAAACTGAGATAATGCTTCTTTTCAGAGGTCATTTTGGCTTCGCGATCCATTCTCCATGTTACTGAAGAGAGGTGAGGCACTGATGATCCAAGATCCCCTGAAATCTCAAAGTGTTGGAACCCCTTTTTGTGTGTGTTAGATTAGTAACAAATCCATACTATGAAATTGATCTTGCAGGAAGAAAAAACATAAACAAAACAGCCTCCCTCCCTCAAGTGGAACCAGAAAGTTATCCATCTTTCCACTTCATAACCTATGTCTGAAATAAATAAGAACTTCTTGCAAAATAATCCAAGTATGCTGAGCTATCTACTTCTTTTAAGGAAATTTTTATATTTTTAATTCCTATCTTTCTTGAAGTAGAAAGAGAAATTGTATGTGTTGTTTGTAAAAGTTCTCTTCATGGGCTGTAGAGTGATATGGAGATGTCAATGAAAAAAGGAAAATTAATAGTAAATATGGAAACTCTACTTAATTTAGATTAGTGAGATTTGCCTTGTATAGTCTACAATTCAGAAATATTCTATGTTTGGAATAGAAACGATCATATTTCATTAAAATGGAAATTCAGTTCAGTTCAGTCACTCGGTCGTGTCTGACTCACTGTGACCCCATGGACTGTAGCACGCCAGGCTTCCCTGTCCATCACCAACTCCCAAAGCTTGCTCAAACTCATGTCCATCGAGAAAGTAATGGCAGACCACTTCAATATTCTTGCCTTGAGAACCCCATGAACAGTATGAAAAGGCAAAATGGAAATTGGCTCCTCTCAAAACTATTGTACTCCCAACAAAATAATGAAAGACATGAAGCCCAGTGAAGAATGAATGACCAAGCTTTGTCCCCTTAGTCCCTGGCACAGGAATATGAGTGCAAAAGGCTGCCAAGTAACAGGAAGTACAGCTGATCTCTCCACCATCCCCCATCTCCCTAACAATGAGAGGATGCCTGGATGACAAATACATATCTCACATGCTCCGAGCGCCACCCCCAGAGAGGCCCCTCTGAGATGATAACCATTTCCTAGCAGGAACCACCATTGGGCTGCAGAAACCATTAACCATGTGGAACATCCTCTAATATGCTGTGGGATGCAGAAATACAAAACCATCTGTCAGCAGGCACCAAAAGAGACCCTAAGAGTCAAAACTATTCATCAACAAGCACCAAAGAAACAGTCTTAGAAAGCAGTGTAAGAGCTCTGTGGGCACCTTTCAAATACATACAAGCAAATTCATTATCCTAGGGAACTGCACTGCTGTTTGGTTCATGACACCTGAGTTAGGAAACATTGGTGCTTCCTGGTGCCTGCCATCATTCTCCCTCCACTTAAAAAAAAAATAAAATTTATTTGGCTGTGCCGGGCCTTAGGTGCAGCATGCAAAAAAGAAAAAAAAAAAAAAAGATCCAGAAAAGCTTTTGGCAATGGTGAAATTCATGGCAGAAGACAATGTAAGTTGTATTTCATCTTTTTCACATTTGAGTGAATCCTGGTGGGTAGATAAGCCTGAAAGTTAGATTTTGTTGAGAGAAGAATGTTTTGGTTGGAGTGTAAGACTACTTTATGTAGATGAAGACATTGCAGATGGCCTACAAAAAGAGTGCAAGACTGAAGGAAAGAAAATTAACATCTTTATTTATATGTCCATATTTTTTAAGGTAATGCTGTATGGTAGAATGTCAGGAGCACTACTAATCTGTCCTCAATCTTGACCTGTAAAATGCAAATATTCTCCCATGCTACCAGAGGCCCCTTCCACCTTTTAAGGAAAATAAAAACCACTTTTGCTCTTTCTTGAACAATCAGAGCATTTATAGTCAGTGAAAAGCAAACTGAAATAATTTTTCTACCAATGCAGTTTTCTGTTAAGCAGCTTATAAGTAAAAGCACCTTATTCTGTGCCATAAAAGAACTGCCATCTTCTCTCTAGGCTGTTTATTTTTAAAATACATTTGCTAAGGCCCCTGTCTGATTAGTCTCACACCTCATACTGAGACTGTACCAAGAGAGAGATCATTCCATGGTGTTTCTGTGAGTTTAGTACTAAGGGAATGTAGTGTTGTCAACTGCAAAACACTAAGAATATATTCACAAACTGTAGAATTTTTTAGTACTGATTGCGAGTAATCTAAATTAAGACCTCTCTTATTTTGTAGTTGGAGAGCCTCCACAAGCACATAGGGTCAAAAATATCAGCCCTGTTAGCTCTGGCAGCCATTCCAAGGAGCAGCAGCCAGTGCACATGTCCAGTGGTGAGAAGAAACCAGAAGGCAGACAGTGGCAGTGATTGGTAAAGCATCTTGGATAGCAGTAGAAGTGCTTGTCGGACAGGAGAGGGAGGGGAAGGCAGGCACAGAGCTTGCAAGTCTGCCAAAAACTCTTGTCTGCTTCCCTCTTTCTTAAAACAACAGAACTGGGGGGCTTTTCCACATTGCCTCCCTGTTTCTGCCTCTCTTAGCTAAGATCCTCTTTTCCTGCTGGCCTCCTTTTGTTTACACTTTCCTAGGCACCTTATTTTGTTCCTTCCCAAGATCCCATTGACTTTATAGTGTTACACTTTCCCTGTTCAACCCCAGTATCCTTGTTCCTGTTCAAAAACCTCTACTTCACCATGGTAAGATAAAAGCAGAAAAAATAAACTATAAAGAAGACTATTTTCTCCAAGTCAAGTCAAATCAGAGGAAATAGCCAAAAAAATCTGAAATCAAAGTCAACCACAGACAGCAAAGAAGTACTGCTCTGCTTGCCAAACCCCTTATCATTGCTTACAGATGGCAACTTCAACGTGTACAACACATAACCCTACAATTGTGCATCTAATTGCAGTGTTTTCAATTCCATATTTAAAGAAAATGAAGTGGGAGTCTGTATTTTTCATTAGAAAATCAAAATGTTAATAAATGATATGAAGAGTTGCCTAAATTGCAAATCTTCTGCAGTGAGCCGATGTTCTCCTCCCTAAGAAGAACTCACATTAGTTCACTCAGAAAGAGCTCCCAAATATTGCCTCCAAGCCCATTCAGCTGAGTGTACCGTTGCAGTTTAGGGCAACAAAAGCCATTTTAAGGGAGAGGATCACGTTTGTAGTGATTTTAAAAATATTACTGACTGGTATAGCACGGGCCCCAGCCAATCAGAACATGCAAGGGTAAGGAATAGCCTGATGGCTGTCCCAATGCCCACTGGCTGAATATTAATCCAGATTATGGCTGGGCTGGTGTCAATCTCAGAAATTAGGAAATGAACCCCTAAGCATTCATTCATTCATTCATTCAACATCCTCTGTTTTGTGAAAGGTACTTTGTTAGACATGATGACAAATCCAAAAATAATTAAGATTTCCTTAGTTATAAGACCCTTGTGTCTTATAGAAATGATAAAGATAGAAAGACTACAGGATAAGGCAGACAATAGGGGCATTATACAAGAGATGTTAATAACATACTGTGTGAGTTCTGAGGAGGGAAATATCATGCCATATCAATATGTCAGAAAAAATCATGTAGAAAAAGGCTTTGAAGGATAAGTATGGATTTCAGCAGTAGGAGTTGGAGGTGAAAATAGTGGGCAGTTGAGTTAGATGAAATATCGTTAAGAGTTTAGAAAGTGCAAAGCATTTTGGGAGAGTGGCAAATAGCACAGCTACTAAGAAAATAGGTTATGTAAAGTGTAAAAATATGGAGATAATTCTGGAAAAGTAGGTTGTTACTCTATCAGAGAGTGCTTGAATAAGAGACTAAGGTGTATCATTCTTTGCTGCTGCTGCTAAGTCACTTCAGTCGTGTCCGACTCTGTGTGACCACATCCCTGGGATTCTCCAGGCAAGAACACTGGAGTGGGTTGCCATTTCCTTCTCCAATGCATAAAAGTGAAAAGTGAAAGTGAAGTCGCTCAGTTATGTCCGACTCTTCGCGACCCCGTGGACTGCAGCCTACCAGGCTCCTCCGTCCATGGGATTTTCCAGGCTTTAGGCAATGGGAATATACTGAACGTTTTAGCAGTGGAAGAATATGATCAAAGCTATATATTGAGATATTTGATCTATAGGAATGTGGGCGATGACTTAGGATTCTACTGTCATATCCTTAGACAAAAGGAGATAATTTAGGGAAAGAGAAGTAACCAGGAGTCACGGATAATCCTAGGATTTAGACTTTGAATAGCTGGGAGGACACTTGGGTTATGAGAGAATACTACTGAGATCAGGAAAAGGAATGGTGATAAAAGACAAATTCAGTTTGGGGCAAGTGAAACTGCAAGTGGTAGCAGAGAATTGATATCAAGATGTCCAGAAGTTTCTTGGAAATATGACTGTAGATTTCATCACAAGATGGTTGAGTTAGTGAGATTTCTGATTATATTGACTACTTTGGAAATGGAAGAGATTACTAGAGGGATTATTAAAAATAAATCCAAACCCAGAACTTTGAAAATGTCTCTCCTTAGGGTCTAAAAGTAGAAGACTAGCAGAGAAGATCGATCAGGAACACTTGGGTAGGTAGGAGGCCAATCAAAACATTATTGTTCTAAAAGCAAAGGAAGGCAAGAAAGATGGGCTATTTTCAACAATGGCATATGCTACAGTGAAATCAAATAAGATCAAGACCAATGATTTGCCATTTGGGAGCTTTCTAGTGACATTTTAAGAGCATCTTTTCAATATTGGAATGGAACTGGGAGCCAGAATGGAGGAACTTAG